GCAACATATGCTTATAGCAATTAAGGAAAGCTTCTGTCTACATAAGCTCTGAGTTGAACTGATAAACAGTATCCTCTTTTTGAGCAAGAATTGATAGACCTGTCAGGCCTAAGAACTGGGTTAATACTTTGGAAAGCTTTAAAAAAAACCTGGGTGAGCACTTAGTTGGATGCATTTCCCCCCTACATACCTCTTACTACATTCCAGATTGTAGTTTTGTACCTTAGACCTGAAGCATTTTTGAGCATTATACTTAAGCCAGAGAGGATTCAACTGAACTTCAGGTGGTTATTAACATCTTACACAAGTTTAATGCCCAGGAAATGTACACATACACCTCCTCATCAAGCCAAGTGTTCACCTAGAAAATGCAGTAGAGGTATATCAGTCTGTATAAGAACACATATGGCACAAGTCATTGAAAACACTTCATGCTGCATCTGTACTCCCACCTGGAGAGATTGTCCTCTAAAAGAATCAACTCTGCCTGTGCAATCCTGGAGTTTAAGCTGCTTTTTTAGTATAATGACTTAGCCCTTGTTATAACAGGGGCTTGTTTGCTCTGCTCAGACCAGAAGGAAAACTGGAGCACTCATAGCTAAGCCACAGATGGAAGATTGCACGTAGCAGTAAACAGTTCCCTGACTTCGTGTTAAGCCATTACGCAAGAATAATCTTGAATGCTTAAGTGCAAGTGCATAGTCAAGTCTTGCATGACCTCCAGCTGCAAATATCCAGTTACCTGCCTACAGCCATGCTTGAGAATGATTTAAGAGCACATTATACCAACAAAGTCTTCTCTTTAATTATCCAGCATGCAAAGGCTGATAGAATACATCAGCTTCAATTCAGTCTTCAGTCTCCTCAGCCACACGGCAGGGCCAGCAGGCAGCCACACACCCCCTGCTGCCAAASTCATCCCTTATTTGATGTACCTGATCTGCAGTTACTCAAAGCTCCATTTACTCTGCTGACAGGATGCTGTGCCATTTCATATTCACTCCACTCAACCCACCTGATGCTGATGTCCATTGATGTCCAGTGAAGCACACCTGGAAGCCATTCAAGGACCCCCAAACCATATTGCCCCTATTTAGAAGGGCATACATTCAGGCATTTCTACCATGAGGTGGAGACAACAGGATTCCAGTCCAGGGGACAAGTTTTATTGCCTTCCTGGTACCAGTCAGAATGCTGGTTGCTCACTGTTCCAACATAGGCAAGGTAGCTGCTTTGTTTATTGTGTTTTCAGCTGTAACTGGCAAGTTAAACTGAGTTTTTCACAAGTACAGAAAAGGAATACTGAAAAGCTGCTGCATTTAGTCTCCAGGCCTGGTCTTTCTGGAGCAGGTGACAAGCACAGAACACTGAAGAGATGCAACATCAAGCCATGAAGCAGCAAGCACCTTCTCCCAAGTAAGTTCACCTCAGTGGCATAGCTTTATCAGTTGGAAAAAACAAAACCTGAGTGAAAACAGTACGTGGACTGTAAGAACGCCAGTGGGAGACTCGCTGTTCTGAGAAGAAATTCATCTGTCCTATCAAATACTGTCAGGTACTCTAAGAGCAGAGATCAAAGGTCAAGGCATCTTGAGCCATTACAGCTGAGCTGCTCTTTGTGAGCTTTGCTGAATTCATTATTCATACAGAAAGGACAGTTTATTCAGTTTTGTTAGACACATTTTACAGCCCGCCTCAGAGGGGCTTGACCTAGATAAGCTTGTAATGTGAACTCAACTGCTGTTTATCCTTTAGGTTAATTAAGGACTTAAAGGTTAAGTCTCAACTAAAACCAAACCTAAGTGAGCTGTCTTCCTCCAGAAGGAGACATGAATTTGATATATGCACAATATACATGCAGAAATGGACTTCCATCCACACAAGTTCAAGAGGAAACTTTGTTGGAAGTATTACAGCTCCCAGTGTCCTATTTGGTGCTCAGGCTTTAAACACAGGTGACACAGCTCAWGTGACAAGTTCTGTAAGCCAGCAGGCTTCCAGCTTCTGCTTYAAAACAGTATTGGTATTACAAAGCCAACATCACCATTAATTATACTGTAAACAGAGAAGCATTTCCAGAACTAGTTAACCATTCTTTCTGCCCAGAACAGTAACAAAGAAGGAATTTAATTTGACAAGAATGAAGATTACAGCACCTTTTATTTAGTACAGTTTCCCCAATCCAATGAGTTGCCTGACAAGATGAACTAGTTATGGAAGACAATGGTTCGTGGTAAGTCCCTGTGAAACCTCAGGCCAACAGAGGATCTGATATAGATCACATCTTTTTTCAATGTTCAGAGATGGAATGCACAAAAGCAGTCTAGTACATGTTAAAAAATATTTTTCAACCTCAAATTACAACACTAAGTACTGAACAGTATTCACTACTCCTTCATCTCAGGAAGAAACACTATTTGTTAATTTAGTGCTGCAGTGAGCTTTCATTGAACAACCACTTAGATTACTTTCACCAAGCAAGTGTGTTTTAAGCATCCAGTTACAAGCAAGATACAGTCACTCTTCAAGTTTCTCTACTCCTTCAAGGCAGAAGATAGCCATAATTCATTGACAGACTCCACAACCAGGGAAGAGTTCTTTTCCACAGTGACAGAAGTGACTTTTGGCAACTGCACTTAATTTAAACTGCATCAGAAAGTTCATTTCAGTCAGCTGACAACAGAACCTGCTAAGCACTGACTTTTCCACTTCTGGACTGTTTTTGTTGAACACTACATGACCACCATTGCATAACTGACAGCAAAACTCACCACGTGCTAGGTTGCTGTGCATCAGAAACAGTACATATTAAATTAACAGTGAGTAATAGATGGGGCAACTGCTTAACTTCATTTGCTTTTTGACACCATACAGCTCACTAGCCAAGTAATCATTGAGAGGTAGCATATATGCCTCACCTATTCCAAGTCATGATTGTGTGATGGGACCCACCCTTATTCAACATTTTCATCTTCAACAAGACAAGAGACAGATGCAGATGTTCTCACTTTCCAACATTATCATCACAAGTGTTCCAATATAAACATAACTGATTAAATCAACACCTATTTCCACTCCAGTACAAGAGAAGGGAAAGATGATAGATGTAGAGTGTAACTGAGTGGAGACAATACATGGAAGAAACCTAGGACAGCATTTCAGGGAGATGGTGATAATACTATTCCTTTTGAAGAAAGGTTTACAGTCATTTTCTCACCCCATACCACTAATTTAAGGATGAGAAGACAGACCCCAGAAGGGAATGCATCTAGCCTGTATTTAAATATCAGTTTTTGCATTGCCTAAATGAGTCTGAATTGAGTCCATAGGCTTGATTCATGAATGCTGTATTGACTAAACAGAAGAAAGTTGTTTTGAGTTGGCTCTCAACTGTCAGTTGCTATTTCTTACATGGAGTGTGGGGAGGAAGTCAGCAGATTTCAAGTGTAAGAAATACCAGTGACAACTAAGAGAAGATGGAGACTCAAACCCTTTACCAGGTGTCATCTAGCCTTTCTGAAGTTTGCACCATCAAGGAGGGCAGCAACAGCGGGAARAAGTGTTTGAACCTGAACAGCTGTGCTTGTTAAGGCCAGTAGAGGTTCAAGAGAAACACAGAGAAACATTAGAAGGAAGTTAATACAAAAGTACATTGTGTAACCAAGCAGAAGGATTGTAGTTCTGAAACTGTTTCTAGTTTGGAAAGTTGGAAGATGAAGCCTATTTCAGTTTAAGTAGGCAAAGGTTTTGTTGGATATTGAAAATGGTTGCAAAGTTCTGTTTTCACATTTTGAAGGTGTGATATGCAAAGCAAAAGATAAAGGAGTCAATACAGACTTCCTTTCATGAATCCAGCCCTATATCCTTAGTGGTATTTTATCCATGCCACCTGTAGATAGATATTTACAGTTCCAAAGCATCACAGTAAGCAACATCTTTCTTTAAAGCTTTTCTTGTTCTTGCCGCTTTTCTTGCCATTCTTGTCTTTGTTTTCTGACATTTTCTTTGCTCTTATTTCTCTCATTAAATCAAAGAATACCTAGGAGGGAAAAATAAGGAAAAATTAAACAGGATCAACCGTTGAAAAGCAGATAAAAAACTCCCGTATTCGGCAGCAAATAAAGATGTAGAACTACATTCTACTCCACACAGCAGAAGTAAGTCTAGACAAAGATCCCAGTGACAAACACAACATCAGAATCATGTAGTGCACCAAGCAGGGGCAAAAAGCTGCACAATCTTACCTGGCTATCAAACAAATTCAACACCCGTGTGTTAAGAGCTTTTTGTTGAATACCATTCTTGCACAAAAGCAGCATTCAGAGCTCATGAGGACATTTGTCTGTGCCTAGCAAACATTCCCACTGCTGTTAACTATGGCAAGCATTTAATCCAGTCCTTTCCATGTAGTTACAGGTGCACTCTGCTTGGTAGTATTCTGCCTGGTCTATAATTACAAAGGTGCAGCATTCAAGTGACAAGGCACAAAAAATTCTCAAGACTAYGTTATAAGAAAGATTCAGAGAAAGTCATGCTTTCTTTCATGTTTCTCTGTTGTTCTGTCCAAAATTTTCGTCAATTTCTGTATTCCTGATGCCTAGGTACATATCACTTAAGATACAAGACCTGTTTTGCTGTACAGTTGTTATTTTTCTTTTTATTTTAACTTTTTTTTTATATAATTGTTAAAATAAATTTTAGCAATTTATTTGTTGTTACAGAACAAGAGCTTAGCATCACTCTGTAGAACTAGAGTGTGGTTTTTTTTCCAAGTGGGGAACTCTCAAGCCTTTGATACTTGGAAATAAGCCCATGCTTCTGATCAAAAATAGATTAGTTTATCATTCAAAACCCTAAAGTACTTTTTTTATTCAGCCACAGTATTAATAAACAATCACCACAAAGATTAATAACTTATCTTACAATACACCAAACAGTGCTTACATAGAGGATAACCAGTATGCCACAYGAGCTAGCCAGTGAAGACCTGTAACAGCAAATCTAGACCACCATGCTGGTACACTACAAACACACAGCTCCATTGCTGTTAAACCCAACTGACCAGAAAACTAGTCTAAATATAAAACAGGCTAGCCATTCATTAGTAATATGAGATGCTTTTAAGCAAAAGCAAGTCTAAATATTAATGTTTCATTACATCACCCATTATGCAATGATGGTGACTTCCCAGTAGCATTCTGCTACTCATAATGGTTCTTTACCAAACTCAAATTATGCCATGTCCTTTAAACCATGTCCTTTAAATTATGCCATGTCCTTTTAATGAGAGAAGGAGTTCCTGTCAGTAACTTGTGAACCAACAACATTTCCAGTAGGGAACTAATACAGAAGAACAGGAAGCTGTCTAGAAGAACTTAAGAGTACAGCTAGCTGCAAATGTTCTTTATCCGAAGAGATACAAATCTCTTTGTATCTCTTACAATTTGTAATATTTAAACAAATGCCTATCAGCAAAACACATTTGGAGTCCTTAGGGTGCTCAACAGTAATTTCAGATCATCTTCTGTGAGCTGAAGAAGTAAAAAAGGCACTCTTCCTTCAAGAAGTCCTCACTACCCACAAAATAAAGGGGATGATTGAAACTGATTTGTCCTYTATACCAGACAAATACTCCATAGTCATAATTCATTTCTCCTCTGGAATATCACACCACCACTGGTTAACACAAGAAACCAGCAGCAAAATAATGAGAGAATAACTGTTGTGTACCACCAAGGACAAATCAAAACAGGACAGGGACACAGCAAAAACAGTTCTCAAAACTCAAAGTAGTCTTGGCAGAAAATAAGAATAAAATCTTTAAGATTAACCACACTACATGTAGCTTTAYGGGAAGGAAGGTGGAACAATTTCTAAGTGTCTGTGTAAGTAGGACAYACTCTACAAACAAAATAACATACTTCAGGGTATCCTTAGAACCGTTTATCCATATTATTATTGAAAACTATTGCTTCAGTTAAAACAAGACAATAGCATTAACTTGTTCCTAAGCTAGCTATGTGCTTAAGCGTACACATTCAAACAAGTTATTTATTTTTTTTTATAAACTAGGCTTTCAAAAGCCAAATCATGGACTTGCTTTTGTCCCAACAAGAGTAGCTACTAAACAAGTGGCAATGATCTAATGGAGCAGATGTCATTTGTCTTACCTTATCTACATTCGCTCTAGTTTTGGCAGAGGTTTCTACGTACTGCACCCCCCATTCTTCTGCCTTACTTCGAGCCTCTTCTACAGGCACTTGTCTGCGCTCCTCCAGGTCAGATTTATTTCCCACTACCAGTAAAGGGATTTTATCCTCTTCAGCCTTCACACGCAGGATCTGCTCCCTAAGGCATTAGGTATTCAAAATAAAAAACATCTGTGTGAGTAGTAGCAACAAAACTCCTACACTTACAAGGAGTGGATCAAGTAGTCGGCACATTACCAGTGTTTACAGCAGGGTATTTCCCAACAGTTGGACTCACACTTTAAATTATTCCAAGTTAACATACTAATGCTACGGGCTTTACACTACAGAGAGCCTCACACTTCCAGAAGGATGGTTTTACCATTTAGTTAGTGAGTAATCAGGCTCTAGGAAAGAAGAACTGTATGGCAGAAGAGCAACCAGCAGCAGGAGTTCACATTTGAATGMGGAAAAGAGTACAAGTGCCATGTTTGCCAAGTTCCACTTTGGCATTCAGTCACCGTCTTCAATTCACAGTCTGCATCACATCTCAATATAGGTCTGGACAATATCAAGCCTTTGCCAAGGCAGTAGGTTGGGAACAGCCCACATAGCTGGCAGAGGTCATTCCTAATGGCTACCTAAACTTTACCCAAAGGAGACAGTTACTACACAATGCTGAACTAAAATGCTAGCAATCTTCTTCCTTCAAAGAYTCCAGGACGATATTTTAACTGTCAGCATGAACCTGTCATGCTAAGAGGACCTACCAGCATCCAGGTAAGGAGATGGAGGGATGTTGCATACCAGTCTCACTTGGTGCCATTACTGGGGTAAAACACAAAGACTGACACATGCTGCCATCCATCTAAGATGCTGGAAGAACTCCACCAACTACAAACTATTTTTAGATTGCTTCATTTTGTTAAGAAGAGCTAAACGAGGCACGAGCACAATGCTACACCCTCTCATCTCACTCAGTTACCACACTGCTTCAGATGCCTGCATTTTCCATCCACAAAATAACAATGCATGGAGAATACATGAGACTTTAAAATAGCATTAACACTGAAGCAGACAATCTGCTATTGCATTTGACTGCACCTTCACACATTTTCAGATTACAGAGGCACTGAAAGCAAACACTGAATGCATAGCATCAGCAGGAGAGCTAGGGTTTAAAGACAAGCCCACAGTTCATTCAATATTCAACTTTTTCACAGTTTTAGAATTCTGGAACTTTACAGATCAACAATACCAACTTGCAGTTTGGCCTGGGATGCTGGTGACTCATACTACCCATTCCCCTCCTTCCTGGGCCAAGGAGCTGGCTCTTGCATGTCAGCCTAACTAAATATTCCATTTAACTAATTTCACTATTTGTTTACTTCTGAACCATTGAAAAGTAGGAAATTCTGCATCACAAGGCTCTTAGGCCCTTCTTGCACATCTTCAGGGCTAGCATTGATTTTTCATTGTTCTGCTATGCTGGAATCTTGAACCAACACAGTTAACCTAGTTACAGAAGTCTGACAAAGAAAACAAACTGCCAAGATAAACACTCCTACTCTTTTTCATTCAAAGCCTTAAGCCTTGGGTATAGCATTCTATTTCACTTAGGCACATAAGCCAAAACCAAGTGCTTTCACTAGTCTGGTTTTCTTTGTGCTCTTTGAGTGCTACGTGACCTTTTCCTCCATCTTACATCAGGAAGAGCCTTAGTACTCAATTTTGCAGTCCTACAACTGCTGAACTGTTGACTCCTTTCAGAGCTCCAGTTGAGAAAACTGAGTGCTGCTTKTGTGCCCCATGACTGTCAGCCTTCTGAAGCACAGCAAAATCAAATATTATGTGATGAAGGAACTGTATTTTTACACCTCTTAAAAGATCCTGTGGTCTTCTACTACTGTTGAAACAGTATGATATTTTAAGAACCTGGACCAAAGTCCTGAAGTGCAGAGGGAATTTGGCTTGGCTTTAAGAAAAACCTAGAAACAGGCATCTATCTTAGCGGCAGCACTTGCATTACCACTTAGCATCTCTTGACCTTGTACCACTGAAGGAAAGSGAATATGAGGCAGACTGATAAAGAGCTGTTATTCTGACAAGCATAAGAAACTCTGAACAATTTTCCTATGCTTTGGGACATTTGCCTAGAATAGCTGTATAACTTGAAAGAAATCTCCAGTTTACCTTCTACTGAGGCAACAGCTATTATCAAAAGAGAGTTAGAACACTAGCCCTGAACAATGTGGCTACATGAATTCTAAAACCAGAATAGTGGTTTAAATGCTTTTTTATTTACTCCCCACACTACACAAGTAGTTTCTGTGGTCAGTCTGGTGCCAATTTTTACACCAGAACTGCTAAGCCCAAGAAGAAAAATGGAAGTGCTTACTACTACTCTGTGTCTTTCTAGGAATACGTCTGCCTACAATAGCAGTGCTTGGCTGCCAACCCATGTTTGGCACCAATCCATACCTGAAAGTGAAGGCTAATCCTTCCTTTCCTTAGAGCACCTGCTTCTAGCAGTAAGCAATACTGTGAAACCTGGCCAAAAGACAGACTTAATTCCAGAAGTACTGTTCTAAGATAATTAAACTTCACATCCATGAAGACTGAAAATTGGCTGGAATGTGCCTGTTTTAAGAGTCCAAGAACCTGTTACTTGCCTGAGGTTGCTGCTGGCATAATGTACTCATAAGTCACAAGCATGAAGACAACTAAAGCCAGAGGCTGAATACTGTGTTTTAGGTTACCAGTTACTGACAGCAAAATGGTCAGGTGTTACTTTTATTGATCAMATGGTAACAGACAAAAGATAAAGAGCTGCAGCTTTTAAGCAGAGTTGTCAGAGAAACATAGGAAGCAGATATTTTCCCCTGTCTAGGASAGAAGCTACTCACCGAAACTCTGCTGTTGCTGTGAAGGATTCATGCTCTGTTATTGAAAAGACRAGAAGAAACCCTTCCCCACTGCGGAAATAGTTATCTCTGATAGCTGCATAATCCTCCTGTCCYGCTGTGTCCAGAATATCTATCTGAACTTCTTCACCATCCAGAACTACTTTCTTTCTGTAGCTGTCAGCCTTGGTAGGTTCATAGTCTTCTACAAACTGACAAGAAAGGGATTAGTGTTTAGAATTACTGTCAAACAGTCTCCGYATTTGTCCATATCACTTCTTTCACTTCAGTGACATTTAAATTCCCCAAAACCTTCTCAGAATTCAGTCAGCTATTAAATTCCACCACTTTTTTTTAGGTTTACTATTAAAAGCAAATTATTTAAGCACTTAATACATCAAAGARCCAGTTTGCCTAGCCAAGAGAAGCTTGCTACACAAAACACTTCAGCAACTTCAGTACAATTTAAGAACAGAGTTGCAGCGTAAGTTAGCAGCAATCTGCTGGCATTATCTAGGTCTCCCACTTTAAGAAAATGCATTTGAATATACTTCAGTTACAGGTATCYGAACTTTTAAGAGGTGTAGATGAGAGCATCCAGCTGCTGAACATGAAAGCTTGCTCCRTAATTATACAGCCACATACTTTAGTCCATTCAGTATTGCTCAGACCCACTGAGCATATAGYCACTGCCTGTGTAGTTCTGTGCTGACAAAACACTTCCAGCATGGGAGTAGAGATGCTAAGAGCATCTCAGCCTCAGAACACAACAATTAAGCACAGTTAAGCTGGCTGGCTTTTCTTAATGACTACATAATCTGTTCAGATACTTACACCACTACAGTATATATAGGTATATAGTATTTATCTCTAGGGTGTAAGTACCTAACTTTTGAATTACAGGATCATGTATTTCTCCACATCCTAGTCTGGACTGCCTAATCTAGCTTCCTGTATACCAGCATGGAAGAATTCTGGCTATGAGCATGCCTACTTCATCACCTGGCTCAGAATGAGCTAAAATGTTTCCTTCTGACTTCACTGCCTTAACTGACCAAAATTACAAAATTAAAGTTCAACTCCAACTAGTAACAGCTTCTGTACACAAGCACTCGCACATTATGCATGAKTTTTGAAGACTGTTCTTTCACAAATGAGTATCAATTTTGTCACCTTTAGCCAGRTAAGTTCCCAGAGGACATGTCTCCCAGCTTCCTACATTCTACTCCTGCYATTTATGTCATCACATTTAGTTCCACTGTCCCACAGAAAAAAAAACTTAGCAAACTGTATGAATTTGTGCTTTGGAGAAGCTGAACCAAAGTTACTTACCTCATCATACATAAACTGAAGTGTRAGTGCAGATTTGCCCACACCTCCACTGCCAACCATAATCACTTTATGGAGGGCCAAGGAACTCTGGTTCTTGCTCTTGCTGGCAGCCATCGTCCTGCTTGCTGCAGACAAAGTGCCAGGCAACCAATTAGATCTGCAGACAGAAGAAACACAGTCAGCCATCCACGATATTGGCAGCATCAGGGTTGCATGCAGGTAAAGTGCTGAAAGACCAGATTAAAACCCTGGCCCACAAGCCTGAAGACTGGGCCACTCCAATGCACTGGAACACAAACCACACCTAAATTATGAGTAGGACAAGGCATTAAAACAAATACCTTCTATTTGTGACAAAACTATGATTAATAGAAGTGCCAAAGGCTTCTAACAAGCTACTCTTATTTRTAAACCAAGCCTACAAAACTGTCTATAGCAGTTTCCAAAGAAAAATACATTCTTTCTCAAGCAACATGAAATTAAGTGGTTTTTATTGTTCATATTATAAGGCTTCACACCTTTCTAAAATATTTCTTTAATGTTGATACAGCTATACTTTAGATCTGCTTATAGGTAGAAATCTAGCTTTTGATCTTCTCCCTATGTAGGCTTAGAAAACAGCAGAGATACACAGTAAATTGGCAGAAACAAGTTGCAAAAGCTTCTAGCAGAAAGTCTTATGACATAGCATTAGCATTTTTTTTTCACTCTTCCTGCTTTTTGATGCTGTAAATCTAATTTGCTTAGAAAAAAAATCCTGCTTTACTGCAAAAAAATCTCAGTTCCTATTCTTCTCCTGATGTTGTTAAGCCATAAAGGAGTAAGCTTCAATAAACAAGCCCTAGCTAACAAGCCTCTGTTTGTGTGTTATGCAAGCCCAGTAATTAAATGCTGGAGGCTTCTTAAAAATAATACTCTTCTTTTTTTTTTTTGGGCTTTTTCAAGAGTTGCTGGACACAGTAGTTCTACCAGAAGCATGAACAGCAGCTGCCACACTGATTAACACAGAGCAGCATCTCTAAGGACAGCACATTGAAGATAAAATAAGTGAAACAAAGACATGCCAGCAGTCAGCATTCCCACACAGAAAAAGCCCCAAATATGAGTATTYCAGACACATAAAGTATATATGGGAGATACAGGAGGGCAACTATTGTGTTCTCAGAGCACCACAAAGGACCCCAGCTGCTCATATCCTGGCAGWGAGTTGTAAGGAGAAGAGCAGAGCAGTCAGAAAACACTGCTGTAGGAAGCGGCTGTATCAGCCAAAATTACTCCAGAAAAACACTGGAACTACTACATCATCAAGCTCTACTACACTGAAACACAAGGCCAACAGTAAAAGTTACTGAGTAGTATATTGGAAAAAGCTTCAGGACAACCAGCTGCCCTAAACAAAATTAACTAGAGACTAAGGGATCATCAGCCTACAAACAGACCATAGAATTATTTAGCCTGGAAAGGGACCTTTGGATGCTGTCCAGTCCAAACCTCTCCCTGAACCCAGTTTGCTCCATGCATCCATGTGTTTTGAGACTGACAATTCCATTACCAGCCTGGACAAGGGCCCTTGGAGTACACTGATGATGACTATATTTTTCCCCTTGTCATGACCTGATGTTCTGAAAAGCAACAAATCAAACTAAGTTCTCATTGACTAGTGCATACAAGAACAAACATGCCAACAATCAAGAAGTGCCCTCAGGACAGCATTTTCAAACATCTGAGCAGCAGTATTTTTCCATGCAGAGTTTTTTTACTCACACCTGTTTGCTACACACTTTTAGTACAGCAATGCAAATTAATCATCTTTAAGTGTTCATTCTGGGATAAACACTGGTAAGTGAAGACAGATATTTTCCTCTGGTAATCTTCTCTATTATGTTATACATCAGCTCCCTCATCCAGGACACTCCTTAGTACAGAAATAGGGTGTGACAACTCCTACTTCTCCACAGGCTCTCCCTGTACAGCACAAACACACAGTTGTTGGGGGCAGTGAGTTCAGCAATTGCCACACAAATTCTAAACCAGAAGAGAATTGTAARATTGGTTTTTAACTCTTAATTACCAGAGACCAAAGAGAGAAAGAGGACTGAGCTCCCTGCCAAGGGAATGTGAAGAAATTGGCAGCATCTGAACTCCCAAAGTTGTTGCTTTCACTATTATCCACATGGTCTACAGATAGTAAACTGGAATTCAGCTTGCTTGAACATAAACACCCAAGGAACAAAAGCTACAGATAGGCCACACAATGAGATAGTTCAGGGACTTTTAAGTGCCCCAGAAATAAAACAGCTTGTTCTTAAGTTGTAGAGAATGCTGTTTTGTCCTAGTTCAAGAGTAGTCTGTTTTTCACAGTAGTAGATAAGCTGCTTTCTGGAGAAGCCAAGYAACCCTCAGCTACTTTTCAGTATTACTATGACTGGTTTCAACCTGTGAGTATCCTTTTATCAGGCATCCTAACATTGTTGTAACCGCTGTGTCACRTAACACAAAGCTCTCAAGTTACACACTTTTTTGGTATCACAAATTTAGGAATATGTAATAGGCAGCAGCACTARTCCACTGTGCTATGGAACAGCAATAAAGACAATTTACTAATTAGCCGAGAGAAAAGATTTCTTTGTCCTGTCAATACAAATACCACATCTTTACATGGTCATGGTAAATGAATTGCTGTTTTTTAGGCAAAATACTGATAAACTTGATTTAGTAGAACTCATCATAGAGGTAAGTGGAGAGAATATTTAAAGTCTTCATTCTCTATTCCACCCCAACAATGGCCTGTAGAAATTGCAATGTCAGCCATACCATACTAATCAATTCATAATCAAAATATAATACTAAATAAAACCCACCCAACAGCATAAAAATTTAGAGCTCAATTGCATCTAAAGYTCTTCATGGCCAAGGCACTTGATCTTCGCTGCAGAGCTGTTCCAAGTGCCACTTGAATGTTTCAGAGGATGAGGGCTACACAGACCCTGTGAATGCAGGAGTATGCTCACAACACTTCCCAATAGCCCCTGTGCTGTGTGCACTCAGTGAGGTCCCAGAAGCTTCACACAAAGCATCTCTTCTTTGGTGGCACCAGAGGGAGCATGGCCCCCTCCAGCCCAGAAGAGCCAGGCAGTGCAGTGCAGAGACAAGGACAGAGGACAAGGCAAGACTGAATCAGGGTGACATATGATTAACACAGTATCAGTGYAGAAGTAGCAGTGCTTACAGAAAAACAGGCTAACAACACATCATTGGTTCAGAAAGGGGCATGGTGAGATTATAATAGGAATACTCTAATAAAACAAGAGAAGGCATTGGAGCCAACTGTTTGTTTACTTTTATCTCCACCTCTGCAGCCTAAAAAACAGTTTACACAACATGGTTCAAAAGCTCACACCTAACAGTTCCTTGAGGTTAAAGAATGTAATAAAAAATTTTAAAAATTTTAAACACAAGTACACATATGGAAGCTCTCTCCTCTGTTATCTCTGAATAGGCAAGGATTAATTTTCTTCCTATTGTGTACATTAAGCATTCTTAAGGCAGCCAAGACATTGACATTAACTTACCTGCTCACAGAAAAACATGCCTTGGGAAAGCCAACCACTTCTCAAAAAAGTAGCAGTGTCTAGAAGAACCTGTGACAACTGTAGTTCCTTTAAAACATTACTCAATTCCCTTCAGTTTAAGAGACGTAGATTTAAGGCAAAGAGTACATCTGCTGAAGAACTTACTCTGAGTATCACCACACCTAATGCTGTGGGGTAAAATGCCTCCTCTATTGCTCTTTACTTGTTGTTTGCGTAGAGTTTACTTTTCAGCAAGATTAACATTCCTCTGACAGGACAAGAAGTAATCCACTGGGCCGTCAGTCAATCTCTTTAATTTCCATCTGTCATTTTACCCTCAGGTTTAATGACACCATGTCAAGCTTCATATGCTAAGTGTCATAAGCTGTGAAAAACAAAAAACAAACAAAAAGCACACCCCAAGCCTTCCGAAAGGGGAGGCAGGTAGGAGARATGGTTTCTTCTGGTTACCATTCATCCTGCTTTGAAATAAACTTCTAGACAGACCCCATTCAGAATAAACATTTTCTGTCGGTCTTTCATCTTTTAGAAATTAGAAGTAATCACCTGCTCCACCTGTTTTAAAAGATAAGGATTAAGYCATTGGCTTGATATCTCTGCACTTAATCTATACAGGTAACACACAGCCCTATGCACAACAGGAGCTTTGTGATGCTAGTGAAAGATGCTCTTCAGATAAAGAAAGGAAGGTTACAACCAGCCACAGGCTCCCCACATGAAGCACAGAATCTACAACTCAAACCATGGGAGTTACTAATCASCTGTTTTGATTTACTGAAGATCTCTACTTGGCCATGAGACTAATCAAACCACGCCACCTACAATGTAAGATACCTAACCCTAAACTCACCAACTATTACAGCCTTCCCTTGTCCTGTCTGTTTAGTTACAACTTCTGCAGGTTAACTAAGGCCCCCTGCATAATGTGTCATTCGTGGCTGGTCCCTTGAAATTGAGCACTTCAAGGCAATTGTTTATAAACATCTTAGCAAACTGCTTTTTCTCCACCCTCTCCTCAACCTAAACAGTTAAACTACTCAGAACACAGTTTACAAACAGGACTGGTTTACCTAGCAACAAGATTCAAAGACTATGACTGAATAATTACATGTATTTCAAACCAGACCACACTTTCACATACCTTTTTACTTCACATGCATTAAGACACCACAGCTGCACAGCACTTAAAGGAAAAAGCGCTTGTCACTTCACAAGAAAGGAATTTATTATGCTACAGTTCATGTAAGTACATAAGAAAAAAACCCAAGAAGCTTCACTAAGTCTACCTGTTTTCCAATAAATATTCTGCTGCTGTAATAAAAGAATCTGAGACCCTCCAAAGGCTTTAATTGGAATTGCTTCTAGTTCTTCCATTCAGTTTGAGATTTAAAACTGAAATAAAGCTCTAAGCTCAAAATTGCTGAGATCAGCCCTTGTTCTCTTGCAGCTGATATCTTTGGACATTTCTTTTCATTGCTATCCTGCCACTGAAAGCAGCCATTCTTTGGATTTTAAAACAGGATTCTAAAAACCCTTAGCCCAACAGCTTGACAGAGGAGCTTTG